AATTAAGAGGCGTGTGAGCGTGACGGCCTGACCCCGAGCAGCCAGGCCTCGTTTCTCTGGCGGGGTGGAGGAGAACCAAGATGCCGGACGGGGAGCGGATGTTTACTGCGCAGAGGCTGGGTGGCACCGGCGCAGCCGGGGCGATCACGATGGATCGGGGAAGGGGATTACGTGATCGTTAACCACTGCATATTAATTCTTGCAATTATCAGTGTCGAGGCAGGTGGCACCTAAGGCTTTTATACTGAATTTTGTACTGAAATTGCTGCGGGTGCCCGGTTGCGCCATCCTTGCCATCTTCGGTGGCTGTGGTTGCTCTCAGCAGGACGCTGGAGCTTGAGTTGGCATCACCCCCCCCACACCCCCAAATTTGGGATCTTGTCCTTTTTTAGGACTGCGGCGTCTTTAGGCAGGTCCGCCATTGAACGCTGCTCAGGCTGTTGCTCTCTTGGGTTTTTTTTCCCTCGTTAATTTGCTATTATGCATTTTTAACAACCGGTTGTTGCCCCTTGGGGGCTGCTTGCAACCTATGCCCCCGTTTTTCTGATCTTGGCTTTTATCTCCTGCTTAAATTCTGCATTATGAAGAGGCGTGTGGTAGCAAGCACTGGTTTGCACGGCCGGTTAACAACAGCAAAATCTCTGTAGCTTTACGTTTTATTTATAAAAGATCTGTCGTTGCTTGCTCCCAAAACCCCTGCTGCTTTTTGTTTAGTGTTGCTAGGAGCCTCTCCTTCAGAGGTCAAATGACTTAAACGAGGGCGGGCGTGACGGTTTCCAGTAATAAGCTGTTAATAAACTTAACGAGCAGCCCGGAGGCGGCCGGCCTCTCCATCTCGATGGGGTTCAGGCAGATGTCGGGGTGCCTCGGCCGGTCTCCCCGGCTCGTGGTGGGGCAGGGATGTGAAAGCCGATCCCGAGAGGTGCCGAGGCGGAAGGGGTTTTCACGTGGGTGGGACTTGGTGGTTTGCATTTGCAGCTGCACTTCTACAGGGAGCTAAAAATTGGCTCTAATTTTTTTTTTTTTACCTTGCTGCCCTTTATTCCTCTGCCTGCACCTGACTCCGAATTGCTCAGGCTGTTTTAGGGGACAGTTTTTGGGCTGGTTGGGGAAAGTTTCTGGCTTTCTTGGCATGCCTGAAACTAAGGGTTGAGGATAACAGGGCAGGGGAGGACACGGTGCAGTGATGGCCTCACCTCTTTTTGGGTTCATGGTGTTCTCCAGCTTAAAAAGATAAACACAGCTGATGAAATTGGAGGGAATCCCCCACCATTCCTTTCCTCCGTATTCCTGATCCCAAATAGGAAGGATTCCCAACGGATCTCCTCTTTCTTCTTCCAGGAGGTGCCACAGGAGCATTTGAGCTCCCTGAGGAAAGGGCGCGAAGAAGCCAAGGCTGAGAGGGAGAGACAGAGCGAAGACTTGCTGGTGAGTGCCTCGGGGTGGGGGTTTCCCCAAAACCCCCCCCGGCTGCGGGGATGTCGGTCTCACCTGTGTTTCCCCTCCGGGTTTTGCAGAAGCAGACAGAAGTGGAGAGGCAGAAGATTGTGGCTGAATGCAAGGAGCTCCGGGGCTTCCTGGAGGAGAAGGAGCAGCTCTTGCTGTCCCGTCTGGAGGAGCTAGACAGAGATATTGTCAAGAGGAGAGATGAGAGCGTCTCCCGGCTCTCTGAGGAAATTGCCCAGCTCGATAAGCTGCTAGGCGAGCAGGGAGGAGAGAATGGCCCAGGAAACCAGTCTGGGCAGGTGAGACTCGTGGGATGTGTCCTCCCAGCCCAGAGGTTATGGTATAGCAGGGTGTAAAACCTGGGAGAGCTTGAGGTTGGGATCCCTGGGGACACAAATCCATTTACGGGGACCGCAGAGTGCTGACGTGCTGCTGGGGGGCAGCTCAGGTCCATTAACTCTGTATTTATGAGTCAGGAGTTTTCACTTGCTGCCGGACTGCTTTTTCAGGTGGGAACCCAAGTTTTAGCGCAGCTTTTGAGGGGGTAAAATTGGCCCTTGTAGTAGTGAAGCTGCTTGGGCTCTTTCTGATACCAAGAACTAAGAAATACCCAAACAAACCTCCCAAACATGTTTGGTGTGTGTCATTCCCATCGTCGCTGTGAGCCCTGAATCCTCATGGTTTTGGTAGCTTGATGGCAATCATGATTTTTCTTAATGTCTTTAAAAAAGAAGCATGGGTTTTTTTTTCCCCACCCACACTAAAAAAGAAAAAGGGAAAGAAAAAAACCCCATAATTATAAACTAATTCTGCCATCTCCGTGAGTCCAACTGCGCTCTGCTTTGGAAACAGCTGCTGAGAGCTGATCCCCTCAGCGAAGGAGCCGGGGGGCCAGTTTTGGGGAGGATTTTGGAGGCTGTGAGGTAGAAGAGACACTTGTACTGATTAGCTTCTTGATTTTTTTTTTTTTTTTTAAACTCTTCCTCCGGGGTGTTGCCCCGGCTGGAAGCCGGGGTTTTTTTTTGATTAGCTTTGTTGTTTTTTTTTTTTTTTTTAAACTCTCTCTCCAGGGTGTTGCCCCGGCTGGAAGCAGGTGAGTGAACCTGAGCCCTTGCTGGGTTAACTGGGAGGCTCGCACCGGAGGCAGAGCCGGTGTTGCGAGGCCGTACGTCCCGTCCAGCTTCCCCCCCCCTCCCTGCCTGCCTTGTGGTTCTCGCCCACACTCGGGTGTTACCTTTGAGGCAAAACCAAACCTTCGCGAAGGGGGTTTGCGGCAGGACCATCAGGACCAGTATCAGAAGCTGGATCAGGCTGCTCAGGGCTGAGCCCCAGCCAAGGCATGGAGATCCCCCCACACCTCTTTATCTTGGTGGTCTCCTGTGCGCCTGGGTAGCCCCAAACTGGACCCAGTCCTCAGGTGTGGCCTCACAAGCGCTGAGGGAGGGAGAATAATCCAACACTCTTCAGTACCAGGGCAGGTTTTTTTCCTGCCTCTAGTTTGGAGATTTTGGGTTTTTTTCCGGAGGGAACCTAATATTTATTTCTCCTCCCCAGCTTCGAGAGCTGGATGTTTTGCAAGCCGGAGGCTGGCTTCACGGAGCTGGAGAAGAAACTCAAGAGCTTTTCCCAGAAGAGTGCAGTGCTGAAAGAGGTCTTGCTGGAGTTCAAGGGTGAGCGCTGAAAAAGGTTTTCTTTAAAAGTTGGTGCTTCCTAACCCCTATGTTTAATTCGACTTAAAAGATGAAATTCGACTTAAAAGATGAAATTCGACTTAAAAGATGAAATTCGACTTAAAAGATGAAATTCGACTTAAAAGATGAAATTCGACTTAAAAGATGAAATTCGACTTAAAAGATGAGTTGGTTTGAGCTGTGCTCTTGTTTCTCCCTTGGGCTTGTTGGGAGAACTCTTTATTGTTTGAGCATCTGCTCATCAAAAATAAAAAGGCCTGCTTGCTTGAAAAGCAGCGAGTTTCCCTTGGATTTCCGCGTGGAAGTCTGACGTGGCCGTATGGGGTCATTCCCACGCAGCGGTGTCTGGTGGCTGGCCATAAGGCGGGGAGCAAGGTCGCAGTCCCCAGGGACTCCCTGTGGGTGAAAGGATCTAAATTTCTTTCTTTTCTTCCCTCAGAGAACCTCCGGTTTGAGCTGGAGAATGACACAGGTGAGCACAGTTTGGTTTTGGGAGTCTGACTTTAATTTTTACAAGGCTTAATTTGGGAGTTTCAGCTTTCCGGGAGGCGTATCTCGGCGATAAGACCTTCAAGCTAGCCTTAGAGGTCAGGAGAGGAGAAAATTATTGCTGGTGCTGCCAAGGGAAGGGGGGAAAAAAAATGATCCAGCTGCCAGGAGAGTCCACAGAAGGCGCAGCCCTCGAATTTGTTAGGAAACTGTGGGATTAAGAGGACTCTCCAGAAGCTGATCCGCTCTACCCGGCGCGAGGAGACCTTTGGCCCCGCTGTTGGATGTTGATTTAGCTCCGAGATGGACTTTGCAGCCTTTGCGTTCGCTGCTGGTAGTTCAGGGCCGTGGCTGGGCTCTGTCTCCTTGGCTGGGTGCAGGACGGACCCGTCTTGCTTTCAGCAGTCTCTGATATTCCCCTCTCACAGTCGTTTTCAGGCTGTGCAGCCCTGGTTCCTGACAGTCCCCTGAGGACAAGAGCAGCCCTTAAACACGAGGGTATTTGTGCTCATTCCTCTTTGGTACTTGGCAGTGACTAAAAAAAAAAAAAAAGGTGTTTCTGCCTAGAAATTTCTATTCCAGAGCAAGGAGGTGTCTCGGATGGGGCAGGCTGGTGGGTGTGCAGCAGAGATCTGGCTGTTTCTCCGCTTTAATTAGAAAGCGGAGCCTGATCTTTGTTCCCCTGCGGTTCTTTACCTGCTTAAAGCTTTTGGAGGCGACTCGCCTGGTGTCATCCTCGTTTGGTTTGGGGCAGAGACAACGAATCCCCTTGGAGAGTGGCTCCGACGAGAGTGGGAGAAGGGTGCTTAGCTTGCAGACGCTCACGTCCACGTTTCCCTCTTCCCAGGTGATCTCTCTCTGGACCCAGACACTGCCAACCCCTACCTGGTGCTGTCGGAGGACAAGAGGAGCGTGCGGCTCAGGAGTGCTCCCCAGGAGCTGCCGGCGAACCCCAAGAGATTCGATTACTCCTTCTGCGTGCTGGCGGCGGAGGGTTTCATAGCTGGGAGGCATTACTGGGAGGTGGAGGTGGGAGATGGAGAGAGCTGGGTCCTGGGGGCGGCCCGTGAGTCGGTGCGGAGGAAGGAGAAAATCGACTTTGCTCCGGAGGAGGGGATCTGGGCGGTGGGGTTGAACTGGAAGGGGAAGAATTGGGATCAGTATCAGGCTTTCACCTCCCCGGAGACGCCCCTGTCCCTGTGCGAGAGGCCCAGGAAGATCGGGGTGTACCTGGACTACGAAGGCGGGTGGGTGGCGTTTTACAACGCCGATAACATGGCTCCCATCTTCACCTTCACGGCCGCTTTTACCGAAAAGATCTTTCCTTTCTTCTGGCTCTTCTATGTGGGCTCCTCGCTCTCCCTTTGCAATTGACCCGTCCAGTTTCTTTAACTCTCCCCAAGGTGACCTGCAAGTAGTGCCCGTTCCTGTCCCCCTTTTTCCCCTTGCTTTCAGACAAAGGACCCCGAAACTCACGATTGTCCCTTGTTCAGCTTTGGGGTTAACTTTTTCTTGTTGCATTTAAAAGTTTTGGGTCTCTTTTTACCCTGAAAACCTTCCTCTGGGGCATCAGCCGTTGAGGGTGGCTGCTTAAATAGCCTCTACGTGGGGTTATTTCCCCCCCCTCTGGCCTGCTGTATAAGCAACCCCATACATTTGTTTTGTTTTATTTGAAGTTGGCTGCCCCATGTAAACAGGGATGTAACCAGGGAGGAAAGCTACCTTAGGGATTTATCGCATCCTGCATTGATCCGTAGCCAAAACCGCCTGCTTTTGTGCACCCCGGGAAGCTCTCGAAGGCTAGAAAACCTGCGCGAGGAGGAGAGGTACCGTACCCAACCCCTTGATTTCTGACACTGTTGCTCTGCAGGTCACCTTTTAGCTTTCCCCACCCCATCCTCGCTTTCCTTTCCGCCTTGGGGAAAGGGCCGAGACCGACTTTCGCTGCCGCTAGCACTAAGAGAGCAAAACCCCGCCATCTCCCTCACCGCTTTCCCCCCCCGTTAATGCTGAGCACCCGTAGGGTCGGAGGAGAGCCGAGCGCTGGGAGCCGCAGCCCCGGGGATGGAGGCAGTGTGAGCTGGGCGGTGGGGAGGGGGGTGAAGGGGAGATGGATGCTTTTGGGTCAAGCCAAAAGCTGGCAGGGGCGTAGCTGTAGGGAGAGCCGCGGACGTGCCGCAAACCCGGAGTCTCTCGGGCGCGCTCGGCGTCGCAGATTTTTTGGGGATTGGCTTTGTGGATGTGGGTAGCTCCCGATGGAAACCCAGGCCGTGTCGTGGGGAAGGAGGGGGAAGCCTTGTTTTAGGTGTGATCTCGCGCGTGCTTATAAACCCCTGCCCGCCCTCGTGTGATCCCGCGATGCTGTTATGTCTCTTTGCCCTGTCACTCTGTTTAGTGGGGAAATAAAAGTTGCTGTGCAAAAAAAAAAAAAAAAAAAAAACCAAAAAAGCCCAAAAAAAAAAAA